TCATACGCAAAAAATGGGCTTGTCAAAAGAAGATCAACAGACATCCGGTTGCACTATTTCATAGGTATATTTTAATCAAATCTGTTTATAGAGTTGCCCGTTAATGCTCGATTTACTTCACCGTTGACCCATTTTCTTGATTGTATTTCATATTTTTCTCGTCGTTCATTTGAAATTAGGCCTTCGGATGAATCGTAAAACAGATTTAAACGTTTTAGTACTTGAACAAGCATTGGGTTATTACGAACAAAATTTACAACAAATTATTATTAAAGATTAAAAAATTTCGCGACACATTTTTTCGTTATAAATTAAGCTCTCACTCTTCCTCTCGTTTCATGAAGATATCAGTAACAGAGTATATTATTTGTAACCTCGCCTTAATAAAGTAGCTTATATCTTACTAATATTATAAATCCAAATGATTGGACGGATGGATCTTGCTAAAATTTGGCATAGAGAAAAACCAGATTAAAAGAACATATAGGGTGCTAATTTTTTTTTATTTCGCACGGACGGAGTCGCGGTCGACAGCTTGTTATATAACCAACTTTTGTAAAACTATACCATCGAAATATTAAGAGAAGAAAATAAAAAGTTTTACAAATGCAGTAAGCATTGTGCACTTTGCATTGCAATGCACTTTGAAAAGTTTCCTCGTTGCAAATTCATTGTTGTTGCTCCTTAGAATTCATGCATTTTAAAATGATGAAGTTGTCTTCAAAATATTAAATTTATTTCCCAATAGAGACTTACTTAAAATAACTTAATGTCATAGTATATTGTTATCATTTTACGATGAAAAATCATAGAAAATGTATGATTACTTCTCAACACATTTGCGAAAAAACTATGTCTAAAGGCTATCTTTTTATTAAAATAGCATTGATCTACTACATATATACAAAGTATAAAAACATATTTTGTACATGTGCTGTATTTTCATTATTACTGAGAACGAAAACTCAATTTACTAAAATGTCTGTCCATAAACCCGCATTTGTACCGGGTAATCTCCGGAACAGGTGGTCCGATTTTGACGAGACTTTGACGGGAAGGTTGCTGATGCACGCGGGCAACTCATAGACTAATTATTAATTCTGCGCTAAAGATGCCGCGGACGATCGCTATCACTTTTCATTTACAATACAACAGATGTACTTACATGTAATTACAGTTTATAAATAATGCGTTTATAACTATTAACTTACGTCATCGTTTGAAGGAATTTTTGAATACCGTTACTCGCATATAGTATGCGACTGCTATTCATACATTTGTATAGAGGTTTAGCTGTTCATATCCGGTGTAACCTGAGTGTGACTACAAGAATAACACAACTTAAGTCTATAAATTCTAAATGGTGAGAGCATTTTAAATTACACAGTGATTTCCAAACATATTCATATGACGGTGATTCTTTATTCAAGTTACATAGGTATTTCGTGATATACCATTTTTTTTTAATTCTATATTTTTTTTGTCAGTGTTATAACAAAGTTATTTCGCAGTTCGATCGAGTCGGAAGTGTCTCTCAAGGTCGAGTGTGGCTTGTGATTGATTAGGCATGAAACCCTCGACTTTTTGGTCACTCAGCCTTGACGAAACAAAAACCGAATAAAAATACATTTAGGTACATAACGTGTCAAAATTTTAAGCGAATTTTAAAGTATTCACTATTAATGAATCGTTTAATATCAATTAATTTTATTTAATGTGTATTTCAGATTGAAAATACTAAACTGATATATAAACACGGCTAAACACTCACGTATATACGTCCGGTGGCGGCACCGACTAGGTTCGAGCCCATCGGGGGCCCTTCATCTGTGGTGTACCACAGTGTGGTAAATAATACCAGTACCACTCATCCTGATGAAGAGCCCCCGATGGGCTCGAAACTAGTCGGTGCCGCCACCGGACGTATATACGTGAGTACTTAGCCGTGTTTACACATCAGTTTAGTATATTGTCTTACGAAAGTTTGAATAATTGAAAATACTAATATTTAAATAATACACTACGTACACACCATCATCTTACTATTTTATATTGACTAAATACGTAATTACTAACCTTCTATATAAAGTAAGCAAAAAATTCAATTAAACGCTTCACTCAAAAATCACATACAAAAACATAGCCTACATATAAATGAATAAAGGAACCTTTAACATGGTTATCAGTGCCTTCTTTGTTCAACATCTTTGGATTATATTTCGACTTAAAGTTTGAAATTTCATCGTTCAAGTTCCTAGGTCATAAGCTGATGGTTTATATTTGTTACTTGTTGGTCACAGTACACTGACCTCCTGACCTCAATTATATCGAATCGATCGCAAACAATCGCTTTGTTAACTTGTAACATGTAAAATCTACAATAGCTTCTGAATATATAAAGAACAATGGAAAAAGGAAATCACATTATTTCAACTTCCTTATCATTTAACTACTCCTTAAAAACAAATAACGTTCTTGATAAAATTGTAATTTGTTATATCATAAAGTGGCAAAAAAACTACGACCGCTTGGGTACCCTGAATACGCCGAAATTGGGAAGCAACCGCTGCCTATAGGCATATGCAATTGCATTTAATTGACGGAAGAGGGGACGCACTAAAGGCCCCCCAAATGCCCCTTAATATGCGTTTCCCCTTCGTTGCCTTTCTATCTTTCCCTTATAAGATAAGGTTGGAAAGGGAAAAGGGACTAATATTAGGCAATATTGTAATTATCCAACAAGTTAATGAACTCTTAACAGTAGCTAAGTGGGCTCCATTAATTATAATAGACGCAAAAGTTGACATCGTCTTTGAAACATACCTAGTATTGGAACTCTATATTCCAACATTTGAATATGACGTCCCACACTTTAACTGTTACCTAACAAAACTTATTTATAAGTCATTCATCCCATTCATACGAAGTGTGTTTTTACTAGAGTCAAAACGTAGGCTCCGGAGACTCGCCACCCACAAAAAAAAATGGGACCCACCTGCGAGTAAAATCTATTGACCAAAAAAAAAAAAACAATTTCAAAATCGTAACACGCATAAAAAATACGAACGAATTGATAACCTCCTTCTTTTTGAAGTCGGCTAATAAAAGCGGATGGGACCCAGCATTTTACTCGGTACATAATGCACGCATTTCACTCGTTCGATAAAAAGTCGAAACATGACGTTTCACGAATATACCAGCATATTACTTAGTATCATCTATTGGTTAAAATTTTAAGCTTTTAAAGGAATCTTTATTGAACAATTCTCCCTTTTTATACCTTCATAATTGCAAAAAAAAAGTATAAAACCTTTTTGGTATTTAAGACATTATTAGTTAGAATCATTTGGTGCGAATGACGTGTTTTCGTTACAAAGTCCAGTATCAGAATGAATGGCGAGGGGATATGAACCTCGACATTTAGTAAGGCTAGTGTCGAGTCAGTACACTGGCTGATTTCCGTATTTTCTTCCTATCATTACTCAGGCTTAGTCACTGATCAAAATTGTAAGGCGTAATACTAAGGAACTGAGAATATGGTTGTTAGTTACGGCATCGATCATTATTCAATTAGTGGTAGTTAAATGACTTATTTTGGTGTAGGGTTTCACTTTAATTTTATTGGATAACAACCTTTTCCTTCAGATTTGAGTTACTGTTAATTAACAATCTTTGAAGCCGGTAAATTGATGGAGGAAAAGTCTCACGCCTTTTAACTTAGGCTAGTCGTTTGAAACAGTATCGATTTTTTCTATTTTTATCTTCGAAAATCTAGTACTATTACCAAAGATAAAGAATTAATTCTATCATTGTTATGTCTATACTTTTTTGTTTTAATAACCACTAAAAAGTTAGTCATACAATAAAAAACTAAATGCGCTGTGCTTTTAAATTGATTTCAAAAACTGCACAAATAGTTAAGTAAAAATATTTGTTTTCAATTTGTTTGTCTTTCATTGGAAAATTTTTAATCACTGAATTTTTACGAGAGAATTTTATAGAGGTATAACCTAGTTTCATTTATTCATAGTAGTAAAACGAAGGTGATAATAATTTTAAAAATGTAACTGGCATACAAATAAAAAACAAAACATTTTACTTTTTTAAAAAACAATTTGAAAGATTCTAATTACAAATTATAGAAATTAAACATTTGAACACTAAACGTAGTTTGAATGTGTTTTAATTATTTATGTTTTGTAATTTTTTTAATATTTATGATCCTTAGTAAATAAATTGAAACAATTATTTTGCATTCAAATCGTACTCCTTATGTTCTCGTTTCTCGAGTAGTTCGTATTAGGATATAATTATAAAGCGGAAGAGTTTGTTTGTTTAAACGCGCTAATCTCAGGAACTACTTGTCCGATTTGAAAAATTCTTTTTTTTGTTGAATAGTCCATTTATAGAGAAAGGCTATATAACATTATGCTGCTACCAATTGTTCTTTAAATTCCGCGCGGATGGAGTCGCGGTGACAGCGAGTTAGTAATAAAGCTGATCATTACTGGAAATAATTAAGATGTAAATATTTAAATGTAAAAGAATTTAAGCCTCGCTAACTTTTTATTCATCTTAAAGAACTGGATAGTAGTACTTAAAATAACTAGTAGGGCAATAAGTAGAGCGAATAAATTTAAAAGTTGACATTGAGTAATATCGACTTTATTAACTCGTTGTTCCAGTTCCGTGGTCAATATGTTTATAAAAGTTTTAATGAGCTGTTGTCACGTGAAAGTTAACGCTTTTAGATCGATCGTTGTTAATTAAATAGACTTTTACTACACAGATTTAATATTAACTTGTCATGTATGTATGAATATAGTTAGGTACCTAAAGTGATTTTTTTTCCTCACTTTTATTTCTACAACATTTTGTATAGTACTTTTAATTAGGTACTTTTCTCTATCAATATTCTTAATTTTAAATATACTTATTTCTTTTTTCAGTTAAATATTTTATTCATTTGCAAGTAAAATATATAACCGTTTGTTACTCAGGTGCGCGTACGTGAATTCTACATCGCGATGCAGCGTTGCCCCTACATCCACGAGATGAAGGAGCGGCTGCTGGGCGCGCCTCCCGATACCCCCGACACGAGGGAGGCCAGAGAGGCAAGAGAAGGGAGAGGCGCAGGGGAAGGACCCCGTGATCGCGCCCTCGAATTAGTTCAAGACACCCAGGTCGGCACCATCGTCAAAGTAAGATGTCATCCTCACCACCATTACTTTTATTACGTTTAGGCTTAGGTTAGTTTTTAAGCTGCAGGCAAACCCTAGTATGTGTGTAGCATTTGTTGCTTTATATTTGGCTCGTTCACGTACCGACACGTGTTGCCGGTCCAAAGGTCTGACATTGCCTGACGCTCCCTCTTTCCGGCATGTACTTATGGCGTGTACGCCCTAGACAAACACTACATTAATGCATACTCTATGTGTGTGACAATGACAGTGTGTAATGTGTACGACAAAACTTTACAGTACGTGTATATTGAAATTCGGTTATGAACGAAAGTTAAAAACCGGTCATGAAAACCCTTATGGGACCCTTATACAAGTTTTTTTTTTTTATTTTGAAAACAATAAGGCAAATAAATTTACTATAATATTATATATTTATAACACTTGAAGTATTATTTAATAATAAACGGGTAATGAACTGCAAATACATGAAAGGACAACCGAAGTTACGAAAAATTGCACTCTTAAGTAACCAGTTTAAAATCGACTGCAAATTGCTCATTGAATTTATAATTCGTTTCTTCAATTATGAAATTCAATTAAGTACAATAGTTAATATCTAAAAAAACGTAAGAAAACTTCTGTTAATCATCTATTGTATTACGGCTTAGGAAGAACAATAAAATTATCTATAATTCATATATGTTAATTATAAAATGTATGCATAGTTTACGTTTATTTCTTCATCTCCCATTACATCACCGTATATTCTAAGACGGAACCGAGGCATACCATGTACTTATTCACTTAAATATTACCAAGTATTACATTAAGAGATACTAGGAGATGAGAGATGCATAGTTAGGGTGAAGATACTTCTTGATAAAAAACATAGAAGTATAAGTCAACAACTGGTCCGACCTGTCTTTTGGTCTACTACTACTTGGATTTCTACAGTCAAACAGATGTGCAATAGCCACCTATCCTGCTATTAAGATTATAATGATATTAACTTAACAATAAATATTGTCTACTTTAGCTGAATTCCGACGGGTACGGGTCGCACACGTCGCCGGCGCGGGCTCCGCTGGTGACGGACGAGTGCGAGGCGCCCGCGGACGAGACGGACGCGCTGTCGCCCACAGAAGCAGTACTACGGTACCGTGCTTGCTGTCAGCCGGACACAACGCCCAAAAATGCCAAGTGAGTGAAGATAAACTATAGTACTTGCTGTAGCTGGAAGTATACAGCTACATATTAATCCATATCAAGTGTTGCATTTCATCTTTGCGTTAATGGCACGACGTGAACCGACCTATGTAATCTACAGAACATATTGGACGTTACATATAATATTATCTGTAAGTAATAGGTATTTGAGGAAGTACGTTCTCAAATGATTAATTTGAAAGCATAGAGATACAGAGAAGGCAGTGGACGATGCATCTCATTAGGTGTACAACAAAGCAACACAAAACAAACTTGTTTGTCGTCGCTTTGTGCTACGAATCGTAATGGTATTGCTTTTGAGCGCATCGCTCTCTACACAGTTCATATACATGTATCGAGATAGAATATATTAATTGTTTATGTTATATTCTTGTTATACTCTTGTTGTAACCTATAACAAAGTAAACATACATTCACACATACATACATAGATGTAAAAGGTGACATAATTCAGAAGAGAATGAAAAGATTTTAAGGACGGAACCTGATGGATCAACCCTACGTTAGTGGGACAAGGTGAGGAAGATGATGAGTAAATGTCATATCGAATGAATATTGTCCGCAGTTTTATTAAAAAAAAAACAATAATAACATTATGGTCGATAGACCGCAGCATCATTGTATTGACTTATTTGATACATCACGCTTAACTTGTTAAATGGGTTACATTGCCCTATTATTATGTTACGTATAAAACATTTTATTAAAAAAAGCCTCAATGGAAAGTTTAAAAATATATAAAGGAGAGGAAGCTGTAATCAAAGTGTCTACGTCGCATGGTTGGACAATCGATTAAATGGTACGCGTACCAATGAAGCACGTGCGATGTTAAAATAGATGAATAATAAAGCTTACTACCTTGTGATAAAGTTTAAAATCGTTTGATTAATGTTAGGTTTATTTAAGCGCGGTCAGGAAGGCAATCGTGCGTTGTCAAACATGGACATGTAAACGGTCACTGCCTTGATTCCCGGATGTAAGGATTAAAGGATGGTACTTTGAATTATTACCTACTTATTTTTATGTGTAATGTACAAAACCATATCTTCTATCAATTGGGCGGGTCAGATTATTTCAAATGGATAGTCGATGCAATAAAAATGTTTAGCTTAGAACAGTCGCCTTACTTGAATTTTTATTAAACACTACGGGTACTTAGGTACTACTTAAGTACTCTCAAGATTTACAATGCCTTTTTATAATCTTTATTTTTCCGATTAAACTTATTTAAAAAACCATATAAAAAGTCACTGTTTTTTTTCTTTATTACGTTTTCGAGACGTCCAGCGCCATCTAGTTTTACAGACACTAACTATAAAAACTTTCAGAACATTGAGTGAAACGACATGTTTTCGTGGCTCTGGTTCTAAGTTATTTATATATCAAAAAAACATAAACAATCTAAGATAAAATTTCTTGTAATTTTTTATTGAAAATATAAACATATAAAATGTGTTTGGAAGCTCTCTTCAACTACGTGGCAGTAAATGTCGGAAATTAGGAGTCGTACAATAATTAAAATATCTAAAGTAACAAATATTTTTCACATTATTTTTAATTAAAGCAATCGTCAATTCATGAGAGACAAAAATTACGTAATGAAAGATGTTATCATCGCTTATAACAGTACTTTAATTATGCTTATGTCATTTCTTGCGTGATGTTTATTTCTAATGGAAACACGGGCACAAATAACTACCAATAACGAATCGTTGATACAAAGATTCTTGTATCACATTTCTGTGCAAAGATTCAAAAATTACAACGAATAACTAATAATTTTCATAACTTTAGGAAAAAGATAACACGGAAATGGTTAAATTAGTTTTGAATTTTTCTATTAAAAAACTTTTAATTAAAATTGAAGTCGTCAAACATTTTGTCTTTGGTACCAAAAATTATAAAACCCACAAATTCTGTCCATGATTTTTTTTGTATAAGATCTACTAAGAAGTCTACTGACTGGAATTGAATAATTCAAGGGACAATGAACATTCAGCCTTATCCGTCTAGACATTGCGAGTCTCAGGCCCATTAATGGGTGCGCTTAAAGTCACCCGACCAAAACGATATGCAAGTGTGTATTCGACACAAGGCCGATTATATTTATTATGTCATTGACGGGCTTAAACTCTTATTTAAATTGCTGAGACGCGTCTGTCGCCGGGTTTCGCATACTTAGCGATGGGAATGCATTCAATCGACGTCTACATGTTAATTAGCTCGCTAAAGATTGCGATTACGACAGAGTTTCTAAATTAGTCTGTGTCTAAAGAATATTGTTTATTATTATTAAACTAAAAACGATGTACTTACTGACACAGCGTTATTGGAACTAGAAAAGTACAGACTTAAAAATATATTATACCATAGACTAACTTGATGTGTTTTTTAATTACAAAGCTACTTTTATATTACAAGCAGAATGGCGCTAGTATTTATATAATAATACAATGAAATAGGATTTCGATATAAATAATAACATATATCTTTTTTTATTATGGATTTGATACATTTGATTGAGCGTTAAATTAGCACAGAAAGGAGAAGCTTGGATCCGCAAATGCACGCAAATTTAACACATTAAATGCTTCTATTCATTTCTCATGTATTCTACAAATTATTTTCATGTATCGCAGTACGTAGTTGGCATTGAATGTATTAAAAGATATCTGAAAAAAAAAAACTAAGTACGTAACTTAAAAACAATAGAATGCTACAGATATATAGACTAAGTGGATGTTTTAAATAGCCTTTACTGACTGATATATATATTTTATACAAGTAGACGTCTTTTTATTCTTACAAAATATTTTTCTCAAGTTGTTCATTGTTTGCACAAAAGATTATATTCTTATAGTAAAAGCACTTTGAGAATAGTGGCTAAAATGTGTTTTAGATAAAGAAAAGTCTTCTGTATGCTATATGGAAAGTAAAGTAATACTTAAATAGTTAGGAATATTATAAAGAAAATTATATACTCAAGTTCAGTAATATATTATGTTTAACATATCTGTCTACCCCAGTTTGGTTATAAGTTTGAGAGCTGGATTGATTGGATAGACTTAAGTTATGAAATCAGTTGTTTCTTAATATTTTTAGCAGTCGCGTGTTAATTATGACACAGTACAGTAACTGTTACTAATTAAATTTGATCTTATTCGGAGATTGTTAATACTAGCTTCATAAATAACGTATTATTAGTGCGTTACAACATAATCTTCAGTATTCATTCAGGGAAGAAGGATCGTTCAAATAATTATGGAGATTAAAATTAGAATCATTTGTTTTTAAAAGTGACATCTTACTAATATTATAAATGCGAATGTTTGGATGCTTGGATGGATGTTTGTTTGAAGGTATCTCCAGAATGACTTAACGTATCTTGCGGAAATTTGATATCCATATAGAACATAGTTTGGAAGAACACATAGGTTACCTATTAAGTTTTTTTTTAATTCCGCGTGGATGAAGTCGCAAGCAACATCTACTTTATATAAAGTCGGCAAAAAACCACTTGATTAATGTACTATAGTATTCCACTATTACGCAATGACCCGTATAAAACACAAACGTACACTCACAATGTCGCGTGACGTAGTACATACAGATCACAAGATAGGTATCTACTATAAGCACCTATTACGTAGTACTTGCCTGTAAACGTTAAGTTCGTTAACCCACAGTGTAAGGGGTCAGCGAAGTTCAAATTTAAAATAGGTTCATTATATATCCCTGATTATTTGTTAATCTATGTATGCTATTAATCAACGAAGCTAGTTATTAGTAATGGCATAAAGTGCGCAGTATTTTAAGGGCGTTTTTTGCTTCTTTTGGTAAGCAGGGGCCGGGTCAGTGGGTCGTGCGCGCAGCCTCCAAAGCTCGCTGGGAGACGCGTCTCTATCGACCCAGCGCCAGCTCACGCTAGGGTTGCCTACATTTTAATATTTTTTACTAAGTGATTATAAAGTCAGTTGAAAATATATTTCTACCAATTTTCTATGCGCGGTTATATTCTTATACATACAGTGCCACCATATAATTTTACGACTGTCACTTGATAAACTTGTGCTGCGTGACGAACAATAATAAGCGCTTTATTGATCGGTATTTGAACAACTTTTTAAAATGTATAATTACGAAGGTACTCGAGTCCAGACGGGTAACATGTATGACTTTATAACGCCCATGCACTTGTGTAATACATACCACCCTTTTGCTGGCATCAAAGACGTAATTCCGCCAAATGACATATCCCTCGTGCCATTTACGAGTGCAATTTATATAAAATAGGGTGATTTCGGGAGGGTCGGTGCCACCCCTGGCTTCGTACCTCGCCGCGCAGCATCCGCAACTGCGCAACTCTCCGCGCACTCGACTGGGAGGCTCGGTCTCGACGCCGCTCCTTCTTACTTCCGGACTCATTTTACCTTGAAAAAAGTCCTTGGCGGTCCCGCCCTTACCTAAATCTTAAAGAACTCGACCCTGCTATGCCCTCGTGAACTCCCTTTTACCTTACCGTGCCGTGAGTGAAGTGATAACGATGGGGAAGGAGAAACACCATATGGAGACCGAGGTGAAGGTGGCCACTGTGGAGCTGGAGTCGGTGGATAACATGGCCACCCTGCCTGTCGGTCAGCACCGCCAGCAGGGAAGCGATATAGCTATCGCAGAAAAGCATAACACCACAAACAAAGAGATGGAGCTCAAGTGCGTCCAGCCAAAACCATCTAAGAAGTATGTCTTAGAAATATAGTAGCGTATTTGGTGATCTGTAAATACCTGAAATTTTAGTAGTTTGTTAAATATTTTACTGGAATTTTTTTTGTGCAATGTGCAATTAGTGTAACATATTTACTACATAACTTTTACAAGTATTATAATATTTTATGACATGATATTTTCCGTATTGTTTTTACGTATTTTCGGTATCGTTTTTATCGACGTATAGAACACTTTTCATTGTCTTTGAAGACACTTATACATAACTTACGTAACGCATAAACATTTTTTAAACGAAATTTCAGTACAGAGAACAGAAATTATTATTAAATGTTCATGCCTTAATCCGGAAAAGCTGATGAAGAGGTCGACTCCGGCGATTTTTTATTGATTTTTACAACTCTCATTGTTCTTTATTTAAAAGTTGATCTCTTGTTTTCAGAACATCATTATTCATCATCTCAAGTTTTATTTACGCTAAACTACTGGTAGTGGTGTGCATCGCGTACGTAATCAGCGATGTCATCACTCACAACCTCCCGCTCTACTACTACGAGGGTTTCTTCACCTATTTGTATGGAATGAGTATACTCTTCCTGCTCTACGTCTTCTGTTTCCTACTTCAGGGTAAGTATACTTCATAGTTCAAAATTTTGAGTTAAAGAAAGAATAATATAATGTGACCTATTTTCCAAAATAGAAAGTGCTTGCTGCAACGGTAGTCCGCCAAAACCGAAGCCACCACCGAAAGAAAAGAAACCCAAAAAAGAAAAGGAAAAGAAGACCAAAGATAAAGAAGGAAAGGAAGGAAAGGATGGAAAAGATGGAAAAAAGGATGCAAAGAAGGATGGTAAATCTAAGGACAAGGACAAGGATGGCGGAAAGGACAAGGCGACTAAAGAAAGCAAGAAACAAAGTCAATTCCAGGTTAGCAGCAATTATTTTTAGTTTTATAATAGCATATCACCAGCACATCCAACTTTTTCGTTTAACCTTATGATCCATGTGTCGCTTCCTATCGTTTTATTGTTGTGTTGTAACCACTCAAGATTTGATCTATCACAAAAGCAAAGAAGTTTCAAATTTTAGCGATATTATGTTTAGCTTTTCACAAAAATCGTATAAGCGCTTGATTAGGACGTGACTGGCCGCATGATCCCCTTTTCTGTTTACGCTGGCTATTTTTTTGTTTTTCCATATCATTTGGGCAGGAGGTGTATCCCCGTAAGATGCGTGATAAAGTACGACAACAACAATTACAAATGCAAATGGCTCAGTTGTATGCGTCTGATCAGGTGAGGCATTATAAAATGACGCAGCCTGCTTAAACTATACCATATAATTACCGAGCTTTGGATGTGCTGTTTTATTCTATTTAGTTGCAGATTGTTGTGCTTGTGTTGTGTCCGCTATTCCCTTTGCTTCTTCAACCTATGACCGAAGACTGCTTAAGTAGTTTGAAGATATTTCGTCCAATTTTAACCAAAATGACCTCCCTTGACACTGAAAATAAACTATTTTGCTACCACCATCGATATTTAAATTACAATGTATGTCCTTTTTGTAAAAAAAGCCTTACTAATTACAGTCTTTGGCGGTGCGAAAAATCTTATTTGGTGAGTTCAAGTCAATTGATTCTTAAATTCTCTTTTTTTCTGTTTAGCAACAAGATGTCGTGGAGTTGGAAGCCGGTCCTGTTGCAAGACCAATGCGCCGACGAAAGACTTCGCAGAACGACCATAGCCACGGAAGCTTCTTCCTTAGAATTGGCGCAATCGGTAACACATTCATTTTTAATAATTTCTACATTGAAATGATACAATTTTAGAACAAAACAGCTTATAAATTATGTTTTACATTTTACAGCATTTGGCCTAGGCACCATGATCTACAATGGCTTAGAATTCGGAACATTCTTCGAATTGCCTTTGGATTCACCTTGTTATCTCATTCTTAAAGGTGTAAACCCAGTATTGCAGATGGTCTTTACGTTTATGCAAATGTATTTTATCTTTATGAATTCGAGAGTAAGTTTAATTTTAAAATTCAATTTAAATGAAATAAGGTATGATGTCTATTGGTATTCTTACATCGCATTGTTTTTTTTTTTCAGTTGAACATCCATCGGTTCAAAGTAATTGCTCGATTCGGCCTTATGCACGTTGTCGCTACCAACATTTGTGTTTGGATTCGCACTCTGGTGCTGGAATCTCTGAAAGAGATTACCGATTACCATGTAAAGAATCCTCAGGGTATTCCTGGCGAAGGCATACTTGGAAGTAAGAACATTTTTTAATTCATAATGTTTCCCAGTTTTTAAATTTTTCCCATTATTTATTATATATTTTGTTTGTTCAGAAGTCATCCGGAAACATACCTTGAGACATTCTGGTAAAGTATTTGGCGCGGCAACCACGGCCGCTACCAGTATCGCGGCGACATCGATATCTATGGCAAAGAGCACAAGCGATCAGATACTTAATGTCGTTACGACTACCGTAGCTGCCCCTACTACCGCTTCAACTACGAGTATGTATACTGTTGTACTTATGTTTAAAACCCGTTATCCTTGTACTAACTCAATGTAAGAAAAAAAATAACGTCACCATACATGTATCTATTCCCATTCTAAACGCATGTATGTGTATTAAAAATATTTTTCAGCAACCACTCCTTCACCATATTATAATGCCGGTAGTGGATTCATATCAAATTCCAAAATAATCGACACTATTAAAAGCACGGTAGGGTACGGCAACGGTTTGCATCACGGTCGCGAGTCGAAACACTCCTGGCTGAACGATAACCCATTCACGACCACATCAACCATCGCACCGATAACTACTGATAAAGTGACTCCGACTCAAACAGCCATGTTGGAAGTTTTCCAATGGCTTTATACTTCGACTTTAAAACCCATAGTCAATAGCGTGACCACAATGGTGTCCTCGACGCCGGAAACATACATAACAGACAAAGATGAATGGGGAAATAGCATTCAAAAGTATCGCGTCGATGAACCACCTCATGTGCCAGGTTTGTCGTTGGAGTTCAAGCATCACATTTTGTTCGCCGCCGTTGCACAGTTATTTTGCGATTTTTATGTTATGAAGAGTAGTTAGCACATGCAATACGATACTGTCGATTGTCATTCATTATTTTTATGCATGTGCCGTCCTTTTTTAGCTATTAATTTTAGTTTTTATTTTAATCCTGGTTATTTTTAAATTACTAATTTAAATTATTCTTTATGTTTCTCAGCTAATTCCACGGAACTCTTCGAGTCTTTTGATATATTGAACCCGGCCGCCCTGATTGCCAATATCGATAATTCAACTGTCTGTGGAAGGAATCCAATCATGGGTACCATCGTTACTGACTCCGCTCCATATCTTTATCCATTTATTATTGAGTATTCGCTTATCGGAGCAGCCGTTATTTACGTTATGTGGAAGCATATCGGAAGATACCCAAGGTAAATTGTTGTTGTGAAAATGTCATATTTCATATGTAGTGAAACTTCACACAAGTAGCGATGCAACCAATAGCATTTCATTCGTAAACCTAGGAAAATTGTAAAAATTTAGACTAGATAATAATGTAGAAACTAACATAGAGTCATTATTTACAACTATCAGTTGATCAGTATTAACAAACGCATCTGATTTCCGTGTGCATTACCAAATGCATATTTGGTTGCAGCGTGGCGAACGATGAAGATCTGGAAAGACGTCTGGAAGCTGTTCTCTCCCGCAGGGCGGCGGCGCTGGCGGCTGCGCAGCGTGGCAATCGCGTCGACTGCGCCGGTGCTTCCAAGGGTCTCTTCTGTGGATTGCTGCTTTTGGTCGCGTCTCTTATCTGCTTGATCTTATTCTTCGTCTTGATTAGACATCACGAACTGAAGCGTCTGTCGATTTACTTGGCCGACGTCTCACACTGCGCTCTCATGGTCCTGTCTATTTTGGCAATATTGATTGGGTTTATACGGTAAGTTAATTACTACGGTAATAATTAATACGATAAGTTACAAGGATTAGATCATTTTTCAAATCAAAATTCTTAGACAACAATTCGAAATGAAAATAAAGCATCAGATTTAGTTATATTTTGTATTGCGAGTACTGCACTAGCATTTTTATTTTTCCATAGTTTTATTTTATCATTTTGTACTTTTAATTTGTGTTATTTTGTTTCCCTTTCATTCCCTCTCCTGCACCCTGCTCCAAATTTTAAAAATCTTTTGCACATATGTGCTGTATTTTTAAATTTTTCAATTACTATTCGCCCACGTTTTCTCTCGGATTATATTAAATTTTGTTAACTTCTTAAACCGCTTCAATGTTCACATTTTTTCTTTTCCTATCATCATCCTATTTCGTTGATGTTAATTTTCAATAATGATTCCTTTATTTGTCGATAATTTTCTAACTTGACTTTATAATTATCCTTATTATACATACATAACACGTTTCGTTTTACTCAATTATTGTGTTCTGTTACCATTTTTTGGTTTTTCTTTGTATACCTTTGAAAATAAGTGGCCGTAAATTAAAATGGAGCGCCAATCCTTCCTGTACCGAGCCTCTTCGCAGGGTGCAATCTCTGAAGTTCCGCTCAGAAGAACAATCGGATTTGAACGACATCTTGCTCCGCGTATCTGCGTTTGGACTCTTCGTGTACGCCGTGTTTAGCGTCATCGCCGGTGGCATGGGCGCTTTCACTCATGAACCCAACTTACTCGTCATGATTACTGGATGTTTAAGCGTGCTCCAGGTAAATGTTAATTTTAAATACTCACCAAACTTTAATTTATATTTTATTTTTTTAATTTTTCAGTCGAAGTAGTAGATAGCTATTCTAGATCTTTCTTTAATTTCATGAGTTTTATTGCTCTATATTGGTAATTCCAGGTGGTTCTCCAGCTGTTGTTCATAGCTGATGTGTCTCGTCGCCGCGTACATCTTCCCGAGCAAGAGCGCAGCAAGCCCGCGCGCCAGGCTGTCACCTTCCTGCTTATCTGCAACGTCACCATGTGGCTCATCTACACATTCGAGGCCCAAAAAGTTCTCGCTAACCCGGTAACAACTAATTTCTATTACCAATAGATATTTCGAAATCTTAGCAATTTAATAGATTCAAATTTAATATTTAGTGTCATGTAAGGTAAAATTAAAGAAGATATTAATAGAGTTACTTAACCTATATTTTCTTTTCTTTACAGGTACAACTTGATTTCTACGGTTTCGTAGCCTGGTCGCTGGTTCAACGGTTCACTCTGCCGCTTTGCATCTTCCATCGTTTCCACTCTGCAGTCACTCTTGCTGAGATCTGGAAGACTAGCTACAAAGCACGTCTCGAGTGAACGTATCCATAAATGGATTTAAAATCCATTCTTCAACAATCAGAAACCCATTACTATTCAGGGTGAAAGATATCGTTTTCGTCCTTGCTCGGGACAGCAATTTTAATAGGTAGAGCAAATAAATTTGTTGCTAGATTTGAATCGTCTTGCTCTTTCGTCTTAATATAGTTATAGGATCGGATTTAGTACATTGAGATGTTTCGATAATCTAGAATCTCTTCCGGAGTTCATAACTCGTTGCCGCAAATACCATCTACCACGCATGTCGATTTATTATGTTGGTTATTAGTATCCTGAAAATATCATTATTACTCTTACTTACATTCCATGCTCGTTTACCGCTTCAACATTATTTACAGATTAATTTTCTTGGAAGACTGACTACGGAGACTTAAACCCAAAATCAATATCAATCTCGAAATATTAAAAAAAATACATTAATTTCTTTATACGTAAAAAGATTTGCTCATATCTTGAAATTTTATTCTAGAAGTAAAAAAATTTTTTGATTTTTTTTTTTTGAAAATGAGAGTTAATCAGTTGAACGAAAACTTGTAATACATTTTAATCTCAGTTGTGAAGTGTTCCCTCCTCTGTTAGACATAATTTTTGTGCCATTATTTTAGGGTAAGACAGAACACGAATTGACAATATTTTACATAATTTTCTTTATTCTGAAGATGGCGTGAAGCGCGATTGGTTGATGTTTTACGAACAAAAACAATAATAAACATGCAATGAATTACTTTAACATAGAAACAACTTGATACTATACAGACCAGATTTCAAATAATTAGAGTATTTGATGTTTGTGTGTACTTTCAAATTAGTAGTGATTTTAATGTTAGAAAATTGCTATATTAAATTTTCAAAAGATTTATTAGCCAACATATTATTCGGGATAAGCAAGTAGAATTCTATTAAAAGTTTAATACTTATATTTACTTTTAAGAATTAGATAACATTTGAAATATATTATATCTATTTAAATGTACTTAAATGTAGAGATTTACAACGGTATGTGGCGCAGATTGCAGTAAACTGCTTCGGACAGATTGGATTTTGAGTTTAGGACATTTTAAATTGCAAGGGGCCATAAAATAAAATGTTATTAATTCATCGCACACTATTAACATTCAATTAGCTCATTCACAGATGTTAAAACGTGAAATTAGTTGTAGTTATTAGATTTGTGACGAATTAAAAAAAATGTATTTGTGTTTATCGTCTCAAGGTCATTCCCTCGAATTACTCTCGAGGTAAAATTTTGATATCTCTCTTGTTAAAATTGCATTTCAAAAGTATAATCACTTTATTGCGTTGCATTAAATACTTCACTGCAAATATTTTCGTAACGATCTTTTGTGCAATCTATTTTTATAAGTCATCTAATTTTATATCAAAAGATATTATGGTATCTTTATGAACGCTCTACGCGTAATATCATTTCTATGTTATAAATTTTTGTACAATATAGTTCTTAATGAAAATTATTTTTAATATATTTATTATTTTGTAATTAAAATTAAGGTTTAAACGTAATTTATTGATTCAGAGAGTTACGTGTGCTCACGTTGTGAGGTTTTGAGTGATTGTAGTTGGACTTTCTTGACTGGTTTGTCGATATATTTTAATGTTTAAATTAATTGGTATTTATTAGTAACGACCAGTGCCCGATCTTGGTTATTTTTCAAAGACGGCATGTAAGAGCTACACACATTTGGAAATATTTCTGTGAATTAAAAAGTGTTGGCTTGTTTTGTCACTGCCGTTTAAATAAGTAACACGTAATTTATTAAGTCCTTTGATAAATCTATACTATTTCTAACTTGTTCAATTTTGTAGGTGATGTTTACTGTGTACCTAAATGTTTTTTGGAACAAAATGTACCGATGATGTTTGTAACTTTAGATGTAACATGTGATTAATCAATCGATGTTTAATAGATACCAAAAATTAAAATTTGGAAACTCTACTTTAAATTATAAAATGTAATTAATATAAATGTCTATTTAAATAAATCCAATGATACGAATAATCATTTTATTTAAATTTTAATTACAACATGTTTTCATCCCGATAATTTAATGGCGTTGTTAATTTTTTGACCTAGAGCATGTTGATATATAGAAATTATTGGTACTTTTGTCGGGTAAATATATTATATTTGAAAAAAGCTAAATCAAAAAAGGTAATAACGCATCTGCGGTTCCTATCGTAACCGGTAACACCTCGGTTTTCCCGCTGCTCGTTTGCCCCCTTCAGTTATAAAATAGGTAATATTTTATCCAATTTTAAGCGCCTAATTTCAGCAAGGTGAACGGAGGTAAGTAATCATATAATAGTAAGTAAACCATTGTAATTTAATTTTATTAATCTCAGCCGTATTGCAAGCTTCAGAGAGCTTTATTATGAACTTCGTATAAATAACTACATCACGCTTATATAAGAGGGATTATCATAGAACATGTCTAATATACTAGATTTCATACATTTTATTTATTGGGCGTATTGAAGTAGATGTAGAATGTTGCAATATTAGCGGAGATTGTGGCGCCCTCATGACAGAGATGTTATATTTTTTGGTCAGTTTTTATCTGTAATCATAAAAGAGGTTTTCTTTCCATGTATACTCTTTGGTTGTGTGACATTGAAACTGAAACGTCAACGTCAAAAAATTTAATAGATGAAGTCATTATTTCCAGTTCCACGAATAATTTGTCTTACCATTTCTGAAAATAATAATAGTTAAGTTGGTTAATCATTCGTGGACTTTTTTTGTATATCTAACATCCCTTCCTTTTCCTAGATTTGTGAATTTTCAAATCGACGAGAAATAAATAGGAACTTTCAATAAATGATGAAACTTTTGTTTATGTGAAGAAGTGTTAATTACTTTTTTAGTTTACCTTATAAGCTAGTATGATTTTCCGGTGCAGTTTACTAATATGTTTCCTAAGTTTTGCCACAACCTCAGAAGATTTTTATAGAGATGGTTGGTATAGCCGAGGTGGTTCAGAATTAGATAGTATTTATTCATTGTGGCCGTCAGTGCATAATGCGGCGAGGTTAATAAAGCTTCGAAAAAGAGAGACGCAGGAGCAAATAGGTGCAAACGAAGGTGGAGGAAACGATATTAAGTTTCCAAATCCAGAGACTAAACCAATACAGTCATTGGACACTGAAAACAAACAAACCAGTGTTAGTCATGATATCCCAAATAACACTGCAAATCAAGATACTCCGAAAGGTATGTGATGCACATAAGTATTTCCAAATTTATTATATTTCATTTAGATTCATTTCATTGTTTTAAAATCAATTCTTATTGGATATATGTTATAAAACATTTAAATATGTATGAAAAAATTGACAATATATTATTAAAATTAATTTATTGACAAATAAAAATATTTACATTCCTAATATGTACATTTTCAGTTAATGCCACACCTAATGAATCACAAAAAAATGATACTAAACCACCACCAATGGTACCAAAGGTAATAAATACCACTGAATTGAAACATAATGAAACAGCTCCAAATCAACTGGATATTAACAATCCAGGAGTTTTAAAGAGGGGTCTTATTGTCTTCGGAGGATTTGCATTTTTGGCTGGAGCATATTTCATATGGCACAGGTAAACTATTAATATTATGACTAAGTTTTTACATCTTATTCATAAATAGCAAATATGACTTAAGTCATATAAGTTTTATTTCTTACTTTTGATAGCCCATCTAAATTCAGATAGTTTAAAGACAGAATAAACTATGAATAGGTTGTCCTAATTAGTAGTAGAAGTATCATTTAACACATTCAATGCTGCCAAATCAAACACACTTTATTAAAAAAAAATATTGGGACTTATTTATACTTTAAGACAATATTAGTTAGAATTATTTGGAGCAAATCACGCACATTCTTCACCAAGTCAAGTGTGAGATTGAATAGTGAGAGGACATAGGCGGTGATATTTTAATAGGACTAGTGTTGCTCGGATCGATTGGATCTTGGATACATTGGCACATTGTTGATGTTTCTTCCTAACAGTACTACGATAACATTTTCAGAAGGAGCGGCAAGAAAAATGATGTCAACAACTCACATGGTACCAGTGAAACGAATCAATTTAGATATGGTGTTCTTCAATCCGATGACAGAAGAGATAATATGGAACTTTCCAGAATACCATTAACAATGGAATCAGATGATGATGATGATGAAGACTTGGAGATTTTCGACTTGAAGCAGAAACAGAAATCATTGTCCTACGTAAATCTGCAAACACAGGAAGACGACATAGTCGCAAACACTATTGATTTTGATAAAGATAATAATCTTTTGTTAGACATTGAAGACAATGCATCTGACACACTTATAAACTGGTCGAATAATGCCAATAAATCTGTTAAATAGTTTTATAATACATTTAAATATGAAGAGTTCCGACAACTTCAAAATGGTCACATTAACATAATGAAGAAATATAGTTACACAACTCTTAATATAACAATTATTTACAAAGTTAAATAATTAAAATGAACAATAAAACAATTTAAATTGTTAAGATTATATGTATATTATAGACCTATCCCAAAACGCATCAATTTCTAAAAAGAAAAGTATTGGAAAGGGACAAGGATTTGGCAGGACAGAGGATAAACAAATGAAAACAACAGTTATCTTCTCTGAAATAAACAAAACCAAGCGCAAAACCCCAGAATAGAGCAAGAGGATGAGGGTAGGGGACGCATATTTAAGAATTAACCTTATTTATATCCTTCTTTTCTGTTTATTAAAAACACCAGCAAATTACTTTGTTGCAGGTCTTGGGTGGTGCTCACTTGGCTATTTTAGTCAACCAAGTGACCACTTGTTTGACAACTTCCAGTATTAAAAAAAATATTATTATTTTATCATTATCATCAGCTCACTATACGTCCCCACCGAGGGGCTCGGAGCCTACCCTAAGTTAAGGGTGCTTAGGCCATAGTCAACCACGCTGGCCAAATGCCGGTTGGTTGACTGCACACATATCTTTGAATTTCTTTTAAAAAAATATAGTAACTTTGAATGTTTTGAAGTAGACAGTACTTTTCATATTAAACTTAATATAAGTAGGTATATAATTATTTGTACAAAACACAAACTGTCTATTTAAATATATTTAATTTCACTCCATTACAATGAAAATGCAAGCAATATGAATTAAATCAAAGTATATATCGTGACATATTTTGTGAAGTAATATATTTTGAGTAAATAAAAAATAATATGCACAGATAATGCAATTATTCAGATGTTATTTAGTGCCATAAATGTGCAAAAACACAACTTCCATCCAGTAATAAAAAAACGAAATTATTTTTGTAGCAATTTGAAAGCAAATAGATTTTTTTTAATTAGTTATGTTTCATATTAAAACCTCATTTCAGATCATCCAAATGGTAGTTTATTTTTAATTTTGATATATAAACATTGTATATTCAAAAAATAATTTCCAAATCAAAAATATCTTAAAAATGGTTCCATCATGATTTGCCTGATTTTCGTCTAGTGTTTGATAATTTTCTTTGCTAATTGCTTGTTAATTACTATTATTAATTTACGTATTTTCCTATTTATAAATTCATGTTTATATCATGATAATCTCTTATTTATTATTTTATTAATGGTCAATAAATTATACAATTAATTTAAAATCTGTATACATTTTAAAGTTTCTGTTTTGTCGGCATTGCAATTATACCAGATTCTTAAGAGTAAAGTGAAAATAGCGCCATCTAGGTAAAAAATTGAAAACTAATGCATTACGCGTTTCGAAAAATTAAAAAGAAAGTTTTTTTTTGTGTAGAAAACATATGCTTTGCTAATATCCATGACTTAATTACCTCAGTAAATTATACGATTGTTCGTGTACTTATTAATTTTTAAATATATCTTGGTACTTATACGTATTTTAATATTAAACAATATGTGAACTACATCTATATGTATTTACGTGCTGATAAGGGAAAACCATTTTTTTGAAAAAAAAATATCTGTCTGTTCGCATGTTCCGATTAATCTCTGAATCAGCTGAACTTAACAGAAAGGTAGCCGATGCACGCGGGAATGTTGTAGGCTACTTCTTTTTAAAATCTGCACGGGCGAAGTCGCGGGCAAATGCTAGTATTACATCAAAACTTTAAAGATTCTGAAAATTTAATTCCACATTTTGTTATTAGAAATAAAATTACAATTATTTAATAGGATGCTATTTTTTTTATTTGTGATTCTATTAGAATTTATTAATTTATTTACGAAAAATTGTTTGGATTTACAAAAACAAAATTTTTAAGCAATTTGTTATGTATTTATCAAAAACTACTACCATTAATAACTAATTGATAAGATGTATTACAAAGTTTTCTGTTAATTTTAAACGTGTCTTATATGAGAATAATGTTTGATAATGAGTTGTGTTTCTTATTACAATAGAAAGAGTTTAAATTTGATATTTGCACGTATGAAAATATTTTTTTCTAATTTGCCTTTAATAGTCAATACTACTATACTACGATTCATCATCATCATCATTTGTGTATATTTTTATCGTCAGTATTGCGTTTGATCTAATATAAGTAATCAAATTACATTATTGAATAATATTTAAAAAAAAATCCTTTGAAAAATATAGTCATGTGTGCATCTTGCCTAATATTCTTACGACTTCTCCAATTTATTTGTTTGTTTTTTTTTTTTTAATTTATATGGTTTTGACATAACATAAAAGCAACATTTTGGGACCAAATTATAAAAGGTAACTGTTTATTTAACACATCACATGAGTGTATCCGAAAAAAGATGGGAATTTTAAAGGTTAGCAGTGATAATCATTTGATTTTCTTATCTTACTAATAATTCTATAATTCCAGTTTTGAAATAGACAACAATGCCATCTAGTATCAAAAACTATTAACTTTTAGTTATGGCTTTTCGTATTTTTTATATTTATTTAATCGAATTAGTTGAGAATGTTTTATTAGTAACATTTTAAAGTGATGATCAACTTCTTTGTAAGTTAAAATTACATTCAAAAGAGTCGTAAATTATTTATAACTCCATACATTTAAGTATAAGGTAAAATTGTGTCAACCTGATTTTACTGGGATTTGGTCACGTGACTAGCTTCCTTATTTTGCAATAAAATCCATAATCGAAATTAATTATAGATTGATAATGCAATAAAAATATCTTAAGTGAGTAGTACTTAGGTTCTAAATTTTTCCTCATTAAAATCCAAGCTTTGGACTGTGATAGTAGACGACAGAGAATTATAAATTGTAACGATGTTTTCAAAATTATCCGTTATTGTTGGCAACCTGTGATCTTACTATTACGGCATTTGCTCTTTGTCTTAATGCTATGAATAATTTATTACTAATAGAACTTTAAGGTTGTTTCTAATTTAATAAATATATGCTATTTTATGAGTTTTATTTTGAAAAAAAAAATCTAAAGTTGCATACGTTCTTTGATGTTCTGTTACTTTTTCACACCATGGGTTTACGGGGTTACTACTGTCATAAATGATCTTATTTTGTTTTGTTTTAGCCTAGCCGTGGCCCGCGAATGTGTCTGCGCGAATTAAAAAAAGTTAGATGTGCTATTTCAGGTTATAACCTAATCATATTCAAAATTGTCCTCGTCCGTTCATCCATTCGCGAGTTATTAGTAAGAAGTCACGTGACAATAAACATCCATTCAGCCAAACTTTTTTTATTTATAATATTAGTAAGATATTCAATGGTAGGTAAAATTGTATTGTGTTAAAGCATCATTTTATTTCAGTCTCGTACGTAACGCGCACGGCACGTACGCGTGTGCCCGTCTGAGATATTGAGATAAACGAACCGGCACATTGGATGTGCCGTGCGCCGTACGCGCTGCCAGCGAAATCTTTCGCCCCATATGGGTTTTGTAACTATATACAAACTCGTGCGAGCAGATGAGGCAAAGTATATATTCTTATATGGTCCTTTATTGAGGCAAAAGAATTGGTTCAGATGAAAAAGATACGTTCAGAATTTAGATCATAGTCATAGTCAAAATAGAACACTTTGATTTAAATCCACGTATTTATGTGTTAAAAAATATTTTTTTAATGTTCACATGAGATTATACTAATCGTAGAATTGCTACAGCACTAGAAAATATCCAGATTAAATAATTTACCGTGGGTTGCTGAGACCAAAATATTTGTGTAAAACATACCGTCATTCCTGTCTTTTAACTTTGACAAAACAGAGATAACAATATGTTTTAAAAAGGAATTTTGGTCTCAGATATCCACAGTTAGTCTGCGAGTTAAAATATTTCCCGGAAACATGAAAAAGCTGCATATCACGTTTTGTAGCGCTATATTTTTACATTATAAAAAGAAAATGAATCTCGCTTTCGCCAACAGTACGTGATCGTATCGTTTATATGATGAAAACATTACGCTTTACGGGGCGACGATGAGGGAAACGTTAAAAAATTAATAGATAACATCCCTGCCGAGTACGCAAACACGATAAATATGAAAAGGGTGCGTGTGATGAAAACAAAACGCACGAGACGTACCTGAGGGCATCGCAATGAATAGAAAGTAATGTACTATAAGTTTTCAGGGTAACTGTTAGACTTGCCAAGTGTGATTAAAATTAAGAACATCAGTTCCTAGAATTATATGCCCATCCTTGTTTTTTAGTTTTTTTTTTGGTGGTTGGCATTAATACGTCCTCACTGAGTGTCTCAAGCCTACCCAAGCCACGGATGACTAAGCTATACTCAACCACTAGCCCAATGCGGGTTGACTTCACACATATCTATGATTTTTATCGCAGATATGTTACGTTCCAGACCCACGACCTACGATCCTACCTTACTATTCAGTAAGTTAATTTTGTTAATTCTAATATTGGTCTGATGCTAATTGTGCTCCATATTTTCGTGGAATGTGGCGCAATTAACGTAAGATAAGGTACTTATTGTAAGTGCTCAAAAGCGTATCCATGTCTGAAATAAACTTGATAGCTTATTTTTGAAAAGCGTTAATTTACTAGAGCATGCTTGCATAATCGAGTCTGTTATTGCCTTCTTTTTAGACAAACATTGCGGTATGGCTTGTTTTCTTCCTTATTGATTTAGCGTATCTTTTGTTTTTTTATGCGTTAACCTGACATGAGAGCGGTTTCCTCGTGGGGTATTTGCGCCAAGCGGTGGAGCACGGGGGGTGTCCGGTGAGGGCGGAAATGAAAAATAAACACGTGTCCGGACGTTCCATGGCGCCGGCGAGAAGGGCCGGCTAGCGTTACATGCATTCACAATACACTCGGAGGTGACTCTAAACAATTTTTTGATAAAAAGCACATTTTATAAACATTAAATCTGATCTCAAGCTTTTCTTTCAGTTTATTAGGTACATTTTGTAGTTATCTCTTCAAATAATTTTCAAAATGTAAACCTACGAAACAGGAATAAAGAATCACATATAAGTATATTAAAAAAATCAAATCTCAACTGTCATACTCAGTGTCGTTAAGTGGTCACTAAGGAAGTTCCTAAGTGCACATTTAGTATGAATGTTTTAAATTAACTTATTGAGTGTAGCGATAAGTGCCGTGGACGATATACTTTTTCCGTAGATCCGTGCGAGTCACGAATAGTTACAAAATAAATGTGACTGGAAAGGGAATAAGCTGTTTATTATCCCGTCGTTTAATGTTTTTATGCTGCAGTCTGTGTATTACAACCGTTATTCATTACACTGACAATTTTACGAGGTAAAAATGCATACCTATATATGACTTAGAGAGGTAGACAGAAATAATAGCTTGATTTCGAACTTGCGTTCAATCTATTTATATATATAAAAGAAAGTCGTGTTAGTTACACTATTTATAACTCAAGAACGGCTTTACCGATATGGTTGAAAATTGG